TGACTATTGTGAATTTTTCTTTAATGGAAGGGTTTAAATACATTCGAGGACGACTGTATTAGAGCAAGCACTTTTCCCCGAACCATCTTGGCCACTGGTTGATCATCAGGGCATTATGATAATGAAGGTCACTGCTGTTCACAGCTGCAGTGCCACATGGGCTGGCCCGGCCACAGGGCTGATGTCGATAATCTGTCTACAAACACACAAGCCGTGGATCAACGTTCCTGCTCAGATTAAACTGCCAATATTTGTTACTAAAACACCAGCCACATTAGCACGTATTAAACGTCCGCTGTGCTCACGTACAATGCTTTTACGGGAACCCTATTAACGTCAGCATTAACTGACAGTATAATCTACTCTCATTAAGAAAATCAACTCCAGAGAGGGGCTCTTATATCTTATCCCAGGCGCGTTATGATCAGTCAAACCCTCTGAAAACAAAGGCCCACTTGAAGCAAGTAAAAAACCAGCAGACTTATACAAAGCTGGGTTGTGGTGATGCTGTTTTGGGGTTTTTTTCTGCAGATCAGGGAGGTTACTGGGCAAAGAGATGCTAAAATGTTGACAGACTGATGAAGTATTTTCAGACATCCTAGAAAGACATTGGGCTCTGATTTGAACAAGCTCAGATCAATAAACAAGGTGCTTGAGGCCAAATGTGATCTGAAGATAAACTATAGTAGTCCAATTACTCCCTATACACACACACACACACACACACTGCTACTTGTTAGACTAATGATCAGCCACCATGCAGCAGACCCATGTTAAGGGACTGGCAGACCACACAGCTGAAGTGATATCACAGGATGTGGCACATACTTGGATCTGATCCCTACAGATGGCTGTGGCAATTTTGAAACCATCAGTGGCAGCAATATCATTAACTGCGCCGGCTTTCACCAGGCACAAAATGCACTATAATCCTTAAATGTTTCGACTTTAAACTTCAACATCGCTCTAAGAGGACACACATTAGTGCTATTTTTTTCCCCCGGAGCTGCTATTTAAGGTGTTTTTAAAGCTTTGAGCTCTCGTATTTGACACACTTAACATTTGCATCCGCCAACCGAGCTGCTAAACTTTTACACTTTTACCAGTTTTATCACGCTTTTTGCGCTCACCCCGGACAGAAAAGAAGCAACTCTGCACACCTTGTTAACCACACGGCGGTTTGATTTTGTCTTTAGATAACCGTACATCACCCTGATTTCAGCCTTGTCCTACCTGACTGCTGAAGACCCAAGGAGCCTTAAAGTTTTCAGAAAGCATAAGCTCCTCCAGTGTGTCCTCGGCTATATAATCAGCTTAGATTGAACGCAACGCAGTCTATAGACTGAGCTCTGAGCAAACTCCTGCTTCACACCGTGTCTGGTGAAGGCTGATCCCCTTCTGTTGTGCCAAACAACTGTAATTTGGGATTGAGCATCTATCGACAGTGCCACCACTCTCTGATCATGAGATTAGTCGTGACATCATCACTGCTGCCCAGCAGCATCTTATCAAACAGAAAGCTTGGTTTAACCAGCGTCTCCTCTCTCTGTCGCCTATGTACGGGCCTATAAAGCCAAGCTATAGATAAGCTCTTTGTGCTGCAGCAAATCAACGTGGTCGCATCAAATCGAGGTTTCTGCTGATTCTCTAGTTAATATTCTACCTTCCTCTTTTTGCACTATTTAGAATTTAATCTGAGAATAACCAGCAAAAAATATACATTTGAATAAATAAATGCCATAAAATCCTGCCAATAACTCACCGAACTTCTCCGTCCAGCTGATGAGCCAAAGGTAGAGTTGACCTGAAAGATAGCAAACGGTTGTTTGAGCTCAACAGAAAATGACCAATGGATTATCTCAGTGTCATCTAGAAAGTTTCAGACTTCAGAAATAAACCACTCCCGACATCTTTAAACACTTCTTCCATGCAGTCAAGATTATAGTCGATCCACAAATGTATTGGGATGTTTAAAAGTCAGGTTGCAAACATTTCAAAGCCGCACTCGGCTCTGAAAGTAGCATCAGAGCAAAGAAACTTTCAGGCTTCGGCTAAATGCACAAAAATCTATTTTGATATAAACAGCTATTAGATAATGCCATCAAATCTACTCCAAAAATGACCAGCAAAGACCACAGGCCCTCATCTCCCCGAGAACATCCCCTGTTAAAGTCATCCCCCGACTTTATCTTCTTTCATGGAATCCAAAAACATCTCTGAAGGAAAAGTTCAAATAGAGTTTGTGTGTTGATCAGTGCATGTGAGAGCCACTTCGCCTCTTAGTGTGACACTGAGTTTTACATCAAAGCATGAACTTTGTCATTTGCATAATATGATGGTCCCTCTAGTCTAAACTCACTGTATTAAAAGAACATCTGTCATAAAAGGGATTTGGCATATATGACATTTTACAGCACAGAGTAATTGGACATCACTAAATCAGCCCTAGAGAGTAAAAAAAAAAGAGCATCATACTGAACCCTCCCAGTAAGCTTTATATATTTCTAAAGCTAATCTGACATTTTGATTTCTCTCAGAAGACACACTGAACTAAACATGGCCAGCTTGGCACGCAGGTGAACCGCTCCACAGGTAGCTCCATCAGCTCAAACATCTCCAATCTGCCTCCTTGAGAAAGCATCCTGAGTGACATCTTTCACCAGCTCACACACGCTTATCCTGACAGCAGTCCTGAAATATTCATCTACAGTGAGTAAATATTTGTCCCCAGAGAGGACTTCTCTTTACCGATGGCAGCAGCGGTTCTATCTGTGCGCCCTGGTCCGCGGTGTCCATGTTTCCTCCTCCGTCAGGCTTCGCAGGATTGGAGCCTCCTTCTTGTGTGTCTCCCCGGCAGGTGTGCGGCGGTAAACTGAGCCACCACACATCGGTCACACGTCTATATCACGGTCGGTCAGCAGCTCGCCGATGATTAGCGCCTCTCACATGCTGTCCCTGTTCATGGGAAGGGAAAAAAAAAAAAAAAAACACATGCGCATCTGAGCCAGCTGACGTGGACGCGTCACTCCTGGAGTGTTTGCGCCTTTTGTTCGTGGCTCAAAGGTGAAGACACTGAAACATGATGTACAGCAAACAGCAGGAATCATTCTAGTGGTTTGTCTCTGCTTCATGGAGCGAGCTGTCTGCTCGGAGTTATGTAACTACTTCATTGTGTTTTTTATTAGACTGTGACTCACTTATTCATGAGGACTGTTTTAGCAGAGAGAAGCCTGATTTTCTGCTCTGCCATCTGTGTTCACCCGTTTTCTGCACATTCTTCAAACAATATCTCACCTAAACCCAACAGAAATCAAACCACTATTAAGAAACTAATTCTTTTATCACTAATTATAACAAATTTGCTGTTTACAAATCATCTAGTGATAGTGACTTTGTGCAGGGGGGAAAAAAAGCTCCTTCTGAGTCATCTTGGATGATTAATAAGCGTAAAATGGGTTTATTTAACAGATACATCAAGGCAGGTAACCCACTGCTGACAAAGCTGCTAAAAGTCAACCAAAAAAAACGTCAAATCCTTAGATAAAAGGTGATGATCTAATTAATAGTCTTAGAGGGTGCTTTGATTTGTCCTGTTGTGATGATTAGTGCTGAATAAATAAGAGCAAAACACTAATAAAAAGCACATTTGCATCAACCTTTTAGAGTTCAAACAACTTCTACTGAAATTAAGTTCAGCCAACAAACTAGTTTTAGTTAGTTAGCTTTTCCTCTACAATCAAAGCTATTTTCAATCACCAGTCTGAACCATCTCATATCCTCCAGCATGTTATAAGACACCTGAAATTTGAAATATTCCTCACTTTTGTTAGGACACCTGAAATCCTGAAGCAAAATTAAGTCATCAAGCCACTTTTATTAAGTTACCTTAATTAGAAATTAGTTGCAACTCAACTAACACATAATATTGAGTTTAATGAACACATAATATTAAGTATTCTGGATCCAATCAGTGGACACAGAGGAGGGGCTCCAATTAAAAACATATATCTCTGGGAGCTTCCAACGTGGGGAGGAAACCCTGATGAGAGGAGAGAGGATTGCCTCTTTTAAGCTTAATCTAATTGGGATTGTTTCTAGCTGATTACAGTGAAATTAAAATATCTTTCACTTTTTGTTAGGACACCTGAAATCCTGAAGCAAAAGTGAAGCAAAATCTCTTTTCGTAAGTTACATTAACTAACTCAACTAACACAGACTGTGGAGTTTAATATACACTTAATATTAAGTTGATGCAATTACCAACATTATTGTGCCAAAACAATTCCTCAAAAAAACAGATTTATCCATCTCCATAAATCAGGTTTTATTTTTTCTTGCAGCCACAATTAAGAGGTGAAAACAGGTGCCTGGATTTACTTTCCACGGTGCACATGTCACAGTGACAGGAGCTTCATATTGCTCTGACCCCCCCTTCTGGATAATGTGAGCCCTCTCACACTGTCACCTTTAACTCCTTCTGCAAATGCAGTGGTGACTGTGCGCTTGGCACATTTCCACCCCGCTCCTCCTACATCCAGGGGTGCTGCTCCACCAATATCCATCAAATTATAGTTAAAAGGATCCGTCACGAGCAGATTCACATGATAAAGTTACCCAGCTCCGGGGCGAGCAGGCCTCCACAAGGTGGGGGACTTTGTATGATTGCAGTGAATTTGTGGCTTTCGTTGTCATTTCTGGAGCTCGTGTTGGAGGGGAGTGTCTGCGAGCCTTTTATGTGTGGAGTTCATCAGAGCTTTTGGATTGCTGCTGAGTGTGTTGGACGCCATGGGTTCCATTAACTGATATAAAAATAGTAAAGCATCGCCATCTGGTGTAGATCACAAATCATGTGTCGTAGAATCCAGAGGAAAATCGCAAAATGCACTTTAACTTAGACGATAAACGGGAGTTTGTGCGTAAATCGTCATTATTTCACTTTTTTTTTTTTTTTTTAAATCGTTGCCCTGGAGTTTTCCTGCAGCTCCAGGTGCCTCTGCAGTGACCTCCACGCAGCTCAGACCTCCAACCAAAGCGCCGGTTGATTGCAGGACCTGCATTCAGTTATCGCCATCTGCTGTTTATCCCTGGAAAGGGCCTGGAGCTTGCAGAGAGCGCATTAATGCCACACCTCTTATTGACAGCTGTGAGCGTCTCCTTCACGCTGAATTCCAATTAAGAGCACATTGAGTTTATTATGCAGCAGTTTTAATTATATACGTTCTTAACTTCGTTAATTGGACATCAGTGTTCAATCATTTTCTAAGTGATGCAATAATGGAGCAGAAATAGAGGTCAGAAATTAACTAATCAATCCGCAATCAGTAGAATTTAGTATTTTTAAATAAAGGTACTTTCTTTTTTTTTTTTTTTTACCCACATATGAATAAAATGACGTGCTGTGAGGTTTATCTGTTCCCCTGTCTTCTGTCTGTTCTGGTTCTTTGCACATTTTCACACAGTCAAGACTCCTTTTAATGTGTCATTTCCTTTGGCTGCCAAACAGAAAATTTGTCAACTTCACAGTTTTTCAGTGCGCAACTATGACTTTTTAAAAAAAAAAGGAGAGAGAGAGAAAGAAAGAAAGTTTTCACTGTGCAGTCCTTGGCAGACTAAATCCAACCAAATGTTGCAGACACAATTGCTATTGTTAAACCAGGAAGAAAATATATATCAAACGTCAGATCCAGTCTTTTTCAGAAGCGCTCAGCCACCTTTGGATATAAAAGTTACACATGGACGCGTAAAAGTCCAGCTCCATTCACAGCGTCCCCCATTAGGACCGTGTCGGTCTGATTCTCTCCTCAGTTAATAAAGAGATTTTGGCTGCGCAGTTTTTGCCACGTGAAAGTCTCATTAAACGGATTTTTTTTTTCTCCCATATTCTGGATCCAATCAGTGGACACAGAGGAGGGCATGGGCTCCAATTAAAAATATATGTGGGGAGGAAACCGTGATGAGAGGGAGAGGATTGCCTCTTTTAAGCTTAATCTAATTGGGATCGTTTCTAGCTGATCACAGTGAGATTCAAATATTCCTCACGTTTGTTAGAAATTTGAATTGAAATTGATGAACTCTCCCATTTAATATTTCACATGCATTTGAATTAAATACAAATAAAACATGTGTGTCCTGATGATAACATCATTTATTATGTTTCAGTCACATTACAGCAGATACAGAGATTTTTTTTTTCACAACAGCATAGCGTACAAAGCTATGAAAAATAAGCGGCTGAAATCAAGAAATAGAAATAAATAAGAGACCCTAAGTCTACATTAGCAACATTTAGAACTTCTTTAACCACATGAATAATGAATGTAGCAGTGATCGGTTAGACTTTTGGTCGCCTACAGCTCTGATAAAGTACAAAATACAGACTTTTTTTCCTTTTTTTCTTTTCTCTTTTTTTTTGTTTACTGGCAGGGGTTATTATGCCAGTGTATGCTACACAAGAACATCTCATGTACAGATTCTCAAGAATGTTCTGGGTTTTTTTTATTTTTATTTTTTATTTTTTTTAAACACTACTTATGGATCTGATTTAAACTAGCCTATTTCGTGTAGGTACATCCAATCACTATCACCAAATGTCCAGTATTATGTACACTATGTTCATATTTACAGTGATTCTGACTCAACAGTGTGGAGACAAGGCGCCCAACTTATGGCAGAACTGAATTTACACTTTGGCCATTAACTGTGGAGGTGACAGTCCTTTTCATGATTTTTTTT